TTCGATTACACGCTTATTTCTTTCGAAAAGTGTTTGTTGCACCGGAGCGAGTAGCTCTAGTGTTCTAAATTCTTGAAAGGAATACAACTAATGTGCATACTGGAAAGCAGCTCTTTTTGGTGTTTGTATTGGCCTATTCAAACTAAAAACTAAATATAAAGCTCAACATTTGTTGGAAGGTAGGTACTATTATACTTATGGGTAACTTGATGAGATTTAATATCTTTGCACCTTGTGCGTGATGGGTACAGTGACTATATGAACCTTTACATACAGTGGCGACAATAGAGGTTCCGCCGCCGTGTCCAATCTCTTGTTACTTTTAAATATGAATATTTAAATGGACATCCATCATAAAAAATTGAAAACAACGTATTTGATGTGCCTAATTAAAGTCATCGGATACGTTGTTTTCAATTTTTTATCATAAATGTCCATTTAAATCCTATATTCATATTCAAAAGAAGCAAGAGGTTGGGCACAAAATAGCAGCGTTTTCCATATGAATATATAGAATTTTAAAGAAGCAATCAAAAAGAAGAAAGCAATTGTCGCCACTGTGGTAATAGCTTTGAACTTTGAATATAAAACTACAGGAAGGTAACCTCGAATCTGCGCGACCAGAATATGTGGAGGTTGCATATGGCCGACTAGTGTTTCCAGTTTGGCAGTGGCGTATATCTATTTAAATATGATTGTCAATATTATGACTCACTCTTTTCGCACTAATCCCAGTGCCTATTATATCACTTAAAACCGCTAAAATCCATTAAACATCCACTTGAATGAGGACACAGCGAACCACCAAAACAAATTATGGATATACTTGGAGGCTCAATATGGTCGTTTCCGTCCCTGCGTTATGTTTGTAGTGACATAGAAAACGCTCCTTCCTGTGGTTTTATATTCAAAGGGTAAAGTCACTGTAATGGTGGGCAGCCATCTTGGAAGAGGAAATTTAAAAAAACATTTTTTTTTTATTTTAAAAGTTAAACACAAAACCAATCAAATGAAGTGTCAGAAATGTCCAAGAAATGGTAGGAAGTTTTCCGAGCCACCATTTTGCTGGCCTATATCTATGCCGAATATAGATGAGCTAGGTTCGTTTGGTTCACTCTTATGATCCTATGATAAATTTGTTGTGCTTCCAGCACTGTGCAATACTGTGTTGGAAGCAGAAAAAATGTCCGGCTGGAACACGCGTTTGAATTATCAGCGCGCGTGAAAGCTGGATTAGGTGCACAAAATGGCAAGTTGAAAATTTTATGGTATGCCCATTTACAGAATTATCATCCAGGTAACATTGGATAATACCAAATTCGAATCGCACCAGTTCTTTACCTCCTTCAAGTCTGCATTCATATTATATCAACGTTCAACAGAGTAAACTTTCCCGCAACTGGGAGTAAATCTTTGGCAGAAATGAAATGCCACAACCAAAAGTCGTGATTCACAGAACACAGAATCAAACGGTTATTGAACAAGTCAAGTCACAAAACACCGCCGCTCCTAGATACCAGGTACCTCTCCACCGTTCGACTGGTTATAGACAACTTCATTACAAAATTAGCGATAGCATCATTGCCATTCTCTTCTTGAATTCTGGAACTGCTGGTGCGCTCAGAAGACCATAGGCGTTTTCTCGCGTCGGGTTTTTTGAAACTGGTTCAAAACTGTTTTGAAACAGTAGGTACATTCTCGCGATAAACCCATGACGACACATCAAAATTGATTCAAACCGTTTCGAAATACAATCTAATCCACGTTTTCAAACCATTTTCTCGCGCCAAGAAATTATGATGTGTGACATTACTTAAACCAGTTTTGAAAAATGTTTTGAAACATTGGAGACGCGAGAATACGCCTCATGACTTCCCAGAAAGATTGTGTCTAACAGACTGGCTTTTAATGCTAGACTATAGTATCTTGAGATTTAGCTGCGGTGTAGATAAGCTCGTTTTTTCTTCTGGTGAGGTCTGTTGCTAGGAGAGTTTTTTTTGCACTTGAGAAGTCACGTTTGCGGTATGGTTCATCGTCTTGGTGACACCAATTTATTGTTCATCTTAGATACCTCAATCATAATTATGCAAGTCCGTGTTTGCTGACGTCAGCTGCGCTTCATTCAGAAATTTGCACCATAGACCGAGAAAATATATATTTTTAAAAATATTTCGAGCAGACACATTAATTTAGGAGTGAAAATCGGCAGAGGGAGGAAACAGACTGTAAAGAACAGAGGAAAATAGTGACAGGGTAGAAAACATTATTGAAAATATACGATCTCAAGACTGTGAAACCAAGAATTTGCCATTCTACAGTACACATTACCACAGACATTACATACATATTAAATTTACTGTCATAAAGTTTATTTCCAAATACGTCATCCATTGCGACAAGATTCTGTTCTGGCGAAGATTTCCCAACACCATCAGATACCTACCCATATTTGAAATGAGAAGATGTTTAATCTCAGGTTTAGGCCGCCCAAAATAATGTGCAAGACAAAAAAAGAAATCTCGTTCAACATTTTTCTAATCGAGGAGAAGCCACTCGGCATCTCTTCCGGTATAATTTTTGTGGATACAGGAGTGAAATTTAATTCAGATGGCCTATCAGCAAGGAATTTTTGACGATTATGCTTTCCAGTAAGACAGTGATCCATTACACTTGACAGAACAGAAGACAGTTTTTGTCTGAATATTATCTAATGCATAGACAAAAAAAATGTAGCCGTCTGTATCCAGATCTAAAACCAGTCGATGATAAGACGTGAGGAATGAGGCAGGCTTGGGGCTCCATGCGAATGTCATATCTGACATGGAGCACTTGGGTTTAAAGAAGTGTTCTTGGTCTGGATTCCGAACCCACGATTTGATATCGTCTATATATTAGGTCTGTTTCTGCAGAAATCACAAACCAGTCAGAGCGAATTTCATTGGTTGAAAACAGTCAGACGATGTAGTTGATGATGTTTGTCAATGGTGCTAAACAATATGGCCACGATTCTCAAAAACGAGGCCGATAAGCAATCTTGTGTAGTGTGTTTTCTTGTTGATGCATGCACAAATTTCGTACTCACTATCCCCACATCAAAGGCTTCTGAGTCTAGAGAGCAATAGGCTGTTCATTTGTACTGCTTTTCATGCTTCAAGCAGATCTCAGCACTTGTCCCATAACTCCCATATAATAAGCTCATAAATAGCAGATCTTCCTGATTTTTCGAGCAGGTAGCAAGTACAAATGAATAGCCTAATAGAGTGCTCAATGGTCAAACTGCTCAACCAATGAAATTCGCTCTGACTGATTTGTGATTTCTGTGGAAACAGGATGCGGATTCTGTGCTCTGTCGCTTTCTACATGTCGAATTCTAGTGTCGAATTCTACATTTAATATAAGGGGAAATCGTGTAGAAAACGGTTCACGGAATACGAAATATCGAACGCGACATGTCGCGTTAAGGAGCAGTCGACTGTCAAGAAAAGTGACATCTGTCAGTGTTCAATATTTTGGGAATTTGCAAAATTTGGAATTTAAGGGCGGGAAAAATGAAATGGGTTTAATATTTTGCGATATTCGTTGCGGATTTTATGTCAGAGCATGCGTATTTCAGAAATGCTTTTGTCCTCTGTACTCCTTCGGTTGTTTTGTTTACGTTTCGGCTTCCGCCATTTCATTTTGAATTCTTTTCTTTCGTCTAGTCTCTGTAACTTTTGTATTTTAGTTTAGGTTTGTTTGTTTGTGTTGTGCGGCGCATTCTGCTTTGGGGCGTTCGCTTAACGTTTTATATGGTTTACTTATCTGCCATAATCTGAAATATCACAGCTTAGTTTAAGTTAGTGCGACACAAACAATCAAACCTTTTGTTGTGCTTTGCTGTGTGTTTTATTTATTTTATTTATTAACTGCAATATTTTCCATGGTGATTTTATTCATTGTTTTCTCAAAGGCTGAGTTCGGCTTTGCACTCCACGGAGCGGAATGGTATGAGGATGGATATCGTGACGTCATAAGCAGGGTGCGTTCTGAACAAGGTCATAAGCCGAATGCAGATCGGAAGAGAAAATCTTGAAACCTACAGTTGTCACAAATTTCAACAAAAAACTGTTTTCTTTTGATTTTAATTTGTTAGTAGATTAGTAGATAAATTATTAATGGATCTTATAACCGGCTGTTTCACCTTTGGTTTGTGGTTGAATAATTTTGCGATGACGATGAAGATTAAGAAAAAAATTATTTGTGTGAAAAATTTTGGGAATGTGCTGAAAAAACAGTTCCCAATTTTGATGATTAATAATTCCAGTTTCATTTTCAAAAACCGAAATCGCAAACCCAGAAACCATCCAGGGAAAATAGAGCGAACTTAGGGTACGTGCACGATTATAACCCGAACGCAAAAGGGGCTACTCCGAGAGCTTAAACGAACAGGATCTTATCGTTTCGAGCGCGCTCGGAGCTCACCGAGTGTAAAGCCGAACTCAGCCAAAGTATCATTTATTGAACTGAATTATGATATGCTCCTTGCTGGTTTAGTGGGCACCTAAATTTTTTTGTAGCGAATTGCATGCGAAGTTCGTCTGTACATGATAGGGCTGAAAACCTCCGATTTTTTTTCAACGAAATTCGGATTCGCATTTCATGATTCGCGTCTATATGAACCACACTCGGAACGCCTAGAGCTGTCGTATTCAATATCGAGTGATATAACAGACAATTCGACTTGACTCGGAAAATAGAATCCAGCTGCTGAGTGCCTCCATACTCGATCCCCGAATTTGACGGAGCAAGAAAGAGCGCTCCGGGCAAGATTCGAGAGCGTTTTATTGCTCAAGCCGAACAGATTCTACGTTTCGGATCACTTAATCGGGTGTAATTTTGCGTTATTAGAGCTAATAGAGAAGCGTTTTTCTTGGGAGTTACTCTGAATGACTCGGAACTAATAACTCCGGAACATAAATTTGAGAACGCGGCTTAGGTGAGTTCCAATATCTGGATCACGTGATGCACATATAACACAATTTTTTTGTAAACATCATCCATTCATTTCAATCATTTCCACTGCTTGTTTGTGATTGCTTTCAGCTGTGCTCCGTTTCATTGAAATTGTTTTTAAAGTTGTTGTTTCATAAAGTAAGTAGGTGATTATAATTATTACTTTTATACAGGCAAATATTACTGATTCTAAGCAAAATATAATTGAATTGAGTCAGTTTAGGCAACAAAATGTATGGATCATGAATCCACTTATCTCCAGTACCTAAATTATTTGATGGAAAAAAAACCTACTTGTCAAAATCAAAATAAGCCAATTGTACTTTTATAATTATTATATGAATCATAGAGATTATTTCTCTTGTGTTTAGGCAAAACAATAATTATTATCTCAGTGGATCCTTTTGTTTTTCCAGGACCGAAAAATGGTGGACTGCAGCACCCTAATGAGGAATTATTCCAGATACATGCTGGTTATTTTTAATTTCTTTTTCGTGGTAAGCTCTTTGTTCTATTTTGGTAATTGTTTGGGATGTTTTGGCAGCCTATTTGTCTCAAGCCAGGTCTCAAGTTTTATTGCGATTTTAACGACTGTTTTTGTGCATTGGACTGACACATTACATTAAATATTGTGCAATGTGCATGTTACATTTTCTAATTAAGCATTATCAGCACCATGTCTGATTTTTAATGGTTTATTTTATTACTTAGTTTTATTGCTAGTATTTTCCAAAGCTATTTTCATTTCAACCTCGATTTCAACCTTGGACGTAAGCACTAACATCCAAACTTATGAAGTAAATTCAAAATTTAATTCACAGTACCTATATAGTATAAAAAATAAATAAGTTTAAAATAATATAAGAAATGAAATTGAACTAACTTCTACTTCTTTAGTCTCATGGTTAAAATATTACTTTATGATAACTATGGATAGCTTCAAGAACAGTTTTTAATTTTAATTATTGAATAAATTGTTTTAGTGGTCACAATTTCTCACTGAATTGGTTTTCGACCACGTATTAAGAATGGGGTTTAGGCAAAAAATTAAAATAATAAGGGCTCCAAAATATAACATGTTGTCAAATATTGGGAAACCGTTTTTTTTTAAATGTTTTCTTCACTAAAAATCTGGCTTTATTAATGCCTTCGTGTCTTTTTCAATGAAAAATTCAGACCCCCCAGATTTTTTGTAGGTGCCGATGGGTCAACCACTATGCTTACAAATGTACAATTATTTCCATATTTGACAATCACTGATCAATGAATCTCATGTATTCCCATCGGAAGAATTGCAACTGATTTTCAAATATTTTTGTATGATTACCAGGTGATTTCCATTTTTTCTAGGGATTCCTATATCATGTCCAATTGATTACCAGATTTCCTCAATGATTTTCTACAATCATCCGATCTCCAGCTGATTTTATTACGAAAATGATGTCTAATTGTTAAGCTTTGCATTGATATGACCAAAATAAACAGTTTTTTTTTCCTTATGAAAACATGTTACCACTGAAAAATTGGCAACTTCTGTATTTGCAACTCTCCCAAAAGTTAGCAACTTCTATTTTCTTGGTTGTTCACACCCACACTGATTTTGTTGTAGGTTAAAATAGTTGTTGAGCCCTAGATAACATTGTGTGTCTACACTGCATAATATGGAGCTAAAATAGTGGATATTTCTTTGATTTCACTAGGATGTTCATCTGAATCAGAGACATCTTCAGTTAGGGTTTCACTTGACAAACTTATTTCTGATTCTGATTTAGATGTGCTATCGTCTCTGCTTCTCCCTGCCTAGTATTTATTCTACTTTCTCTTTTCAAGTTCTCATTGCCTTGGATTCCTGACTTTTTCTTTTGTGTCTTTCTAAGGGACATGCCCATAGCTCTTAATACTCGATCGATAAACGTCCCTGCTTCTCTGAAAAGAACCAAATTAAAGTTGAGCCCTGAATAATCTCTTAATTGTAGTAAATAGCAATTGCTAAACCCTGGTCATACTTTAGGCCAGTTCTCACAGAAATCACAAACCAGTCGGAGTGAATTTTCTGATGTCTGTGAGAACCGACCCAATCTTCATCACGTTTTTTTTTCTAGTTCTAAACTCTTCGTAGGTTCGGGTTCAGTTATTGGGGGACTTGTTCGGATATCAAATGCATTTCAAATTGTTTAGCACTCAGTGTTGCCTAAAACCTATTCTTAAAGGCAAATACACAACTGACCGGTAAGCTGTATCGTTGAAAATCTATGATAATAATATACGATTTCTGGGTTAGAATGTGATGATATTTCCAACGATTACCACATGATTCTCGGTGATTGCCAATGGATTCCTATGTGATTTCCCTGAAGTCCTAGGAGATTCTTAGTGATTCCCAGGTTATTCCCAGGGACTCCCAAGTGATTTCCATGCATTTCTGATTGATTACCATGTGATTCCCAAAAAAATGTACAATGATTTCCACTAGTGCTGAAAGCAGTGGAGAAGACCTGTGTAAACGAGCCTTTTAATCAGGAACTTTTATCTATTAAAATTTCTTATCATGCTTATTCTATTATTTTTGATTCAATAAAGAGATTTTTTTCAAGTGGTCTTCAGGGTATTTGTGATACACCTGAGCGAGCACCTGAGGAAGCACCTTTCTTTATAATTTTTTTTTGTCTTTCAACCCAGAAAGTCTTGGTTTTTGTTTCGGCCATTGATGTTAGCACTGATTTTAAAAAATTAAATCCACAAACTAAGCTGAATATCCTGAGTTTAGTTTAAGAGGCAAATATTCTAAATCGAGCTTTTGTAGGTTAAAATTGGTCGCTTCAAAATTTTCAGAACCTAATTTCTAGTTTTTTGTTGCATTTCACAGGGATTTGAGTTTTACTCACAGAGTAATTCCCAAGGTAATTCTCATTACAAAGTACAAATTCGAAATTTTAGTCCGTAGTAGTTGATTGGAACAATAAGTAAATTTACCAATTTTTTGGGTGAAATGGAGTTGCAAATTTTTTTATACATATACAGTGTGTCCACTTAAGTTCCCAGCATATAAGAAACTTTTTTATTATCAATTTTACTAAAAAAAGTTATCCTTTATAAGAGTTTCTGCTTCTTGAAAAAATTATATTAAGCTATTAAAACATGAAATAGCATGTAGGTACAGGGTGTTCAGAAAATAGAAAAATTTACAATATTTCAAAAAAAAAGTTCCCATAAACATGTGTCCAGAAATGTGTAATTTCTGAGATACAGGGTGTCAAAGTTTAAAAAAACGATTTTTTTAAAAACTTTGACTTAACACCCTGTATCTCAGAAATTACGCATTTCCGGACATATGTTTATGGAAATCTTTTTTCGTAAAAAGTTGTAAGGAATCACCGAAAGAATCACATTCTGAAGTTACGAACCGTACTTAGGAAACACCCTATATATTTTTCTATTTTCTGACCACCCTGTACATGCTATTTCAAGTTTTAATAGTTGAATATTATTTTTTCAAGAAGCAGCAACTTTTATGAAGAATAACTTTTTCTCCTAAAATTGATAATAAAAAAGTTTCCCATGTGCTGCGAACTTAGGTGGACACACTGTAATATAGCGCCTCTGTAGAGCAAAAAGTGGCCAAGCGTCAATTGAACCATTTTTGGGATAACCGCCAGAACAACATCTTTGTATCCCAACTCATGTTGTGTGAAAAGGTGACAAGCGGCACGCAAAGAATTAAGGAAATAGCCGAGGTTACAAGCGCCAACATTTAAAGAAGGATGAAGGCAAAAAAGTTCCAAGTACCTAGAACATTGGGGGTTGGCTCCTTGTTGCACTAATTTTCTGCTTGTGCTCTATACGGGGTATCCCAAAAACCTGGACATTTCCTGAGTTTTCACAGTTCTTTCCTAATAATTCCTGAAGGATGCATTTCTAGGAAATTTTCACTCTCCTATAAATTAAAGTACACAAAATTCTGCGTCGAATGAATATCATATACTCAAAATTGTCTCAAGTGTTTAGGAAAATATGCGAAGTCAAAAAAATGGGCTTTTTACTTATTTTCGCAATGTTATCTTGTAGGAAAGCGTGTTTCATTCAAAGTGGAAGATTGAAGAAGCTATCTGTCTCGCAAAGCCGCAATTAATTTTTCACTGGCAGCACCAATTTCATCTGCAGTCGCGTCAAGGTTTTTGAATATCTTGATAGTCCGTTGTAAGACTTTGGTTGTACCTACGCATCTTTGTCAAGCAGCTTTACAAACTTCTACTTCCCCTGCCTGAAAATGGCTGACGCTGAATTGCATCCGCTGGATGCGCGAAGGAATAATATATTTTCTCTCACTTTATTCAACATTTTGAAGTGTCTCGGGGAATAGAAGATGGCCTCTGACCTTCTTTTTCGAGGCTTCATCAAAAACAACCGATCGCGATTAGGAGCTAACGCAGTAATAATACGAATAATTACCAAAACATCTATGTTTTATCTTATTAGAATCACACATGCGAAGTGTGTAGCATTTTCTGTAGCCCTTTGGACGATGGTTGATGGTTTTGTCAGCATCCTCTGCAGCTTGTTCGACGGCGATGTTTTCATCTGGGTGTCTATTCTCGAAACCGGGGAACCGCGTTCTCATGGGATTGAAGGTTCTGTCATATTTCCAGAACACTGACAAAGATAGAGCAATCGTTCTTGTGGGAACGCTGTTCCCCGGTTTTGAGAATAGGCACACTGAAAATTTATGAATCAGCATTGATATGAAGCGGACTATCGAGATATTCAAAAACTTTGACGCGACTGCAGATGAAATTGGTGCTGCTGGTGAAAAAGTAATTGTGGCTTTGTATGCCAAATCGCTTCTTCAATTTTCGTCTTTGGATGAAATACGCTTTAAACTGTTCACGAAATCCTTAATACAGAATAATTTCAACTTTGCTACCCTTCCTCTACCCTTCCTTGAACTGAAGAAACTGCTAGACTGCATGCCATGAGGGCTTTCCTATAAATAAATTTGTGGAAAAGTCATTTGATGGACTCACTTCATTGGGGTTGGAAGATTACTAAGCATACTCCCAGTAACATAGATAGCCGAACAATCCCCGCAGGAATTGCTTGATGACACTGCGTGCAAATGTTTGAAGGAGTGTCGAAATGCTTGTGGTTGCAGGAAGCAAGGAATGAAATGTTTCCCGATATGTCTTAACTGCAGAGGAGCATCCTGCTTTCACACACCAGATGATATCGATGATGAACCAAACTTCAATGACGACGAAGTATTGCTACCTGATGGAGATGACATATTGGAAGACCTTCAGGATGACGATGGCCTTAAATTGGACCAATTGCTTCCATCAGCTTTTACTTTCTACTCCCAAACGCAGCAAATCCACTCAGTGATGTATTTATACTGGTCTGGCATTCCCATGAAGCGCTTCATGCTGGAGGTGGAACAGGGGAAATCGTTTTCGTTCTCTATACAACCTCAGACTTTTTCTAGACATTTCATTCTACTCCATTGAAATTGGCCTGCAAGATGTTGACTTGCTAGACCTGTATAATTTTGTATTTATCATTTATTTTTTGTTAACCACTGTTCTCATCTCATATACAATCCGATACACGGTATGATACTATAGGATATCCAAATGTTAAAAACTTTTATCTCACTTGTTACATTTAGATAACATTGTGAAAATAAGTAAAAAGCCCATTTTTTTTAAATGGAAAATATCATCGCTGTTTGACTTCGCATGTTTTCCTAACCACTTGAGAGAATTTTGAGTACTTTAATATGACTCATTCGACACAGAATTTTGTGTATTTTAATTTATAGAAGTGTAAAATTTCCTAGAAATGCATCCTTTAGGAGTTATTAGGAAAGAACTGTGAAAACTCAGGAAATGTGTAGGTTTTTGGGACACCCCGTATAGAGCACAAGCAGAAAGTTAGTGCAAACTTTAAAAAACTCTTTTTACACGTAAACAAAATATTAAAACCATTCCCAGATTTCCGAGAATTAATTCGCCTACGAACCCTATGTTGCCTGGCCTAATTGTACTTGGAACCTTTCGAGGGGGTGACCACTGCACTCTCCGCAATCTTGTCACAAAATCGCGTGCAATCCCGGAAATCCTGTCGCAATCCACTGTGATCCATAAACCCTTGGCTGCAATCCTTCAATGCCGCCGCAATCCCACCACATTCCATGCAATTGAATTTTTTAGATAACATTGATTAATGTTTTTGTGGATTCATTCTTGAAACTTATTTTAGTTTTTAATCATTTTAATTGTTAGAGAGAGCCGAGGGAGTTTGAATGCACAAAACAGAGGCGGCTACAGCCAGCTTCTCAGTTGGGGGTTACCAATTATCCTAATTCAGGGCACCTAAATATTTAGAAATATTAAGTTTTAAATTTTGTTTAGTTTTTTCAATCAAAATCCATCAAAGTAGACTTAAGGTAGGTACACGTACGAAAAATAACCAAAATTGGAGCTAATAGTCCTAAAGATCCTTTCGTAAACGTTTTTTTGCTTCAAAGTTTCAATAAAAACTGCAATATGATCAAAATTTGTCCTGAAAGTGCATCATTTTGGCCTTTTATTTTGAAATATCAGGAAAACTTATCCAAAATTACCCTGAAGACTATGGTTTAAATGATTTCCCCGATTTTTCCTAAAACTGCTCACATTTAGCTTTTCTTTTGAAATAGAAGAGAAAATTTCCAAAATGAGTATAAAATTGCATTTTAAGGACATTGCCAGCGATTTATTACCTATTTTCATTCAAAGTAGACCTAAATAAATCCATCCAAAGTGGATTTAAAATATGAAAAAAACAGTCTAAATTAGAGCTAATCCTCATAAAGATCCTGTGGTAGCAGTAAGTATTGTTGTTTCAAAATTGCATTGAACACCACAAAATTGGCTTAAAGAATACCCACGTATTCGGACAGAATTATGAAACCCCGGCAAATTAGTTATTGGAAATGACTAAATTTACAACGCAATTTTTATAGCCCCAGAAGAATTCTTTTTGGCATTTTCTATTGAGAGTTTAGAAATCAAGAAAGAATGTCCAAGATCGCCCGAAAACCACAAAATGATCTAAATTTGTGTTAAACGGGCGTTTTTTTTTTGTTTTTTTTTGGCATTTTTTGGTAATCCCCCGCAATCCTTGAGAATCTAGCTGCAATCCTCGAAAATCTACCTGAAATCCCTAAATTCTGCAATCTTGTCACATTTTTCTGCTAGTGATTACCGACTCGGAAGCTTTAAGCTCTGCCTCTGATCTTGTGGATCTGTGGCATGAAGAACACTCATATGACATTGTTAGAGGTTTGAAAATATACAGTGCTGTATCCGAGGCTGTATCTATGGTACCTACTTGAGCAATGTTCTCTTAATTTGAGTTGAAGTCGAGTTTCAAGAATTATTCTTAAGTTTTCTCTCGGAATAATGGAATCTGTATTTTTTATTTAAACTTTTCAAAATAAATGAGATTACAATGATCCAGACCATTTTAGTTATTGTCGACTCATGTGTAAGTGACAGTGGTTTGTCATATTTACAAAGTGCCCTGCATGATTATGTAAAAATCGTATTCGTCCAGTTTCTTCGGAATTTTTGACTGCCTGTATCATTCAAAATATGGACCTCATACTATGCATACATACTCTTGGATGCATATTTATTTCTTATCACAAAAGTTATTTGAATGTAATAAATAATCACAAAAAAAAATGCGATATTTGTAAATGTCTGCTGTTTCATATTTTAATACCATTGTGTCCATTGTGACCTGCCTCATTCTATTGAAAATAAACAAATCTTATTGCCCATAAACCTGATTTACTTCTACTTGAATATTTACGGTACAACATAAAAAGTTTATTGCTTTTGTTTATCAGAGAAAACATTGCCAATTTATTCGATAATACTGAGATTAATTTATTTAGGGCATGGGAAACAATATTGGTGGTCATTGGCCTAAGCGGGTTTGTAGATAAAGGAAACAACTTTTTTATACTCAAATGAACTCCATTCAAGACAAAGATCACGCTAAAAGAAGCACTAACACAATACGCAAAACTACTCAAATTAAACTTAAGAACCTTGTAAAACTGTGATAAAATGAATAAAAAGTTGAATTACGATTTATTAATTTATAATAAATATTATAGTATTTATTTATAATCAACACACATTAACACAAGGGTTCGTTCATATTCATGGTAGGTACCTACATCTTATTTTTATTTTCGATAAGCGTTCAGAGTTTCCGAGCAAACCATTTTGCAGACTTCTCAGTAGAGGTCAATTCTTTGATTCGATTTGTGAAGAACTTCATAAAATTGGGAAATGGTAATAAGTACCTAGTTCTTGGTTCCGTTTATTCCAAAAATCAAAGTCCAATTCAATAAAACAATAATTTATTTCACGTTACTATACACTCTCACACTAATTACTTCACTTAATAACTCAAACAACTCAACTCTTCACAACTTCACAATATTTACTGTCTAAATCATATCACAGTCAATCTTTAACTTAAAAACTACCAACTAATATCGGCCCTTATACAGGGTCCCAACTATTTCATATGGACAGTATTACTATCTCGGGAACGGTTAAAGTTACGAGGGCGTTTAAATTAGAAAAAAGTTGTCATTTTTGAGGAATATTAAAAATATATTTTCGTTGTTGCCAAATTTCAATTAGTTTCGCAAATACAGGGTGATTTTTAAAAATTTGCAAAAACAATATTATCAAATATTTTAAAATCTATTGATTTTAGAGACATAGTTCAAATTCAAAAGTATTATATTTTTAACATTCTTCAACAAAAATGGCAACTTTTTTCTAATTTAAACGCCCTTGTAACTGTAACCGTTCCCGAGATAGCAATCAATGCTGTCCCTATGAAATAGTTGGGACCCTGTATATCTGTAATCTATTCTTGTGAAATCCAGAATAAACGCGAAAGCCATTTTTCCAGAATAGCGCTGTAAAATCTAGAATAAACCGTCCAGTTCTGTACATCATGGTGGAAGCGCCATATGCTGTGGCATTATCTTGAGAATAGAGAAAGTAGTGAAATGCTGAAAATTTATTGAGAAGAAGCTGTCTACTCTTTTAAAAAAGCGATAATAATTGATAATTTGAATTTTAAAAAAATATACTATTTTGATTTTATAAGATGTTAAGTATGTATTGTGTATTTATAGTTTCCTGAATTAATTTCTGTTTTCAGCTCACCGGTGTGATCATTATCTCGATTGGAGTAAGCGTCAAAGCCTACTACAATGAATTTGACCATTTGCTCGACGACAGGTACTTCTACGCTTCCGATTTGCTCATTGTTGTTGGAGTTATTATTTTCGTCATTTCCTTCTTTGGATGCTGTGGAGCAGCTAAGGAAGATGCTTGCCTTACGTCTACAGTAAGTATTTACACCTGCCTTATATATAGATTATCGACATCACATTACATTGGAACAATTTCGTTTATTGAAAATTTTCCAGTTTAAACATTAGAATAACTTCTATCTATACATATTCCATATTCCAATATAATTAATACATACCCATATTCCTTTCAGTTTTCAGCATTATTGATTATCATTTTCATCTTGGAAGTATTGGTTGGAATTGGAGGCATTCTTCTCAGACACAAAACGGAAGACCTTTTGGAAGCTGAATTGAAAAAGAGCATGGCCCTGTATAATCACAATGGCTCCGAAGAAATTACCAGAACTTGGGATGCTGTCCAAAGTCAGGTATAACAAGTTTTTTCATTTGTCCAAATCCTAAAAAAAAAACTAATGGACCCTATCTACTCCTAGATGCATTGCTGTGGAATCAATAACTATACTGATTGGTACAACATCTCACTGAGAGCCTCAGCAGACATTCAAAATAAGACTACTCTTCCATTGAGCTGCTGTGCAATTCCTTCTGGTACAATGGGTGACTTCAATTGCAATGCTACTCAACCTGCTTTATATCATGTTGGATGCTTGGAACTCTTTGGAGATTACATCAGAGACAGTACTTCTAGCATTGAAATTGCAGGACTAACATTGGCGTTTATACAGGTAAGCAAAATTTTTCAATTTTGATTTTTCAAAATTAAATATGGTGCGGGGTTGCAGAATCACTTAATTTATAACAGGAAAAGATGAAGTTTTGGCAATTCACACAATGAAGCCAATAAAAGGCAGTGTGGTTTCCTGAAGAGTATGTGGTGGAAACAAACTTTTTGAAAAAAAACCCACAAGACTCTCAATGGATTCAGACTCTTTTTGTAACAGAAGAGTTTGTTTTTGTTATAATCTAAGATATTCTGAAGTAACCTTTTCATCTATCACCACCTGATTCTCGAAACAAGGGAGTAGCGATCTCATGAGAACAAATTCTCTGTCTCTGTATTTCATATGAGTTTTTGCATAGAGTTGAGAAAATCAGGGCACTTTGTTCTCATAGGAACCCTCGATTCAAGAATCAGACGCCAGATGGTAAAAATTATTTACATCAATTTTCTATTCTAGCTTCTTGGAATCGTCCTCTCATGCTACCTAGCCAAGCAGATCAGGAGTGATTATGAGACGGTGTAAACAGTCAATGTATAAAATACCTACATAATATTACTACTCCAAAATATTTTTTCTTTTACTAGCATTAACCAAAATATTAATTATTATGTTTTAGAAATAGCAATATCAGTTCTAAACTGAAAATAAGTTAGCCATGCGTGTTATGATTTTGAAGAAAACAAAAAAAAAATTAATAAAAACTATAGGCTGAAAATTCAAGTGGTGATTTTTAAATTGTGGTACATATTTCTATTATTAGGGTTTGGAACGATGGACGAGACATGGTTTATTTTTTTTATTTTTAATATTATCGGGGGTGATAGCATAAGTGCAACATGGACATGAACTGGTTATATCCTGGTGCATGAATGCCATTCAGTGGAATATTTCCTAAATCGAATCCAAAACATCAAAATTAGAATGTCAATTGTCACTATAACTACGTTGCAATTATCATCAGCTACATAGCTATTATTGCTGTGATTTTTTCGATAATTGCGTTCCTTTTAATGGACATAAGGGAAATATTCCTTGTAGTTTCTAGAAAGTTTTCACATTTGTTAGTGTAGTGAATAACATAATATTATACGTAGTTTCTTAAAAGTTTTCCATTTGATTTTATTAAATTATTAAAATGTGATAAATTAAAATATTGTATTATTTCAGCCTTGTTAGATTTTTTGGTAGACTTCTAAAAATTTAAACCTTACATGATTCCTCCAAGAAAAAACTTGGGGTTCAAAATTGAACAGGTTTTAAAATGTTTTGGGACAATACTTATTTATGTTTTGATAAAACCTCTTGCTAGGGGCTCTATGCACTTTTATATTGATTTCTTGTTATTAGGTCTGTTTCTGCAGAAATCACAAACCAGTCAAAGTGAATTTCATTGGTTGAAAACAGCCAGAAAACTAGTTTCAACCAATGAAATTCACTCTGATTGGTTTGTGATTTCTGCAGAAACAAACCTATTGTTTCTATCAATGCATTATTCGGGCTCTTCCTGAAGGTTTCACTGAAGTTTCATCTCCTAAATTCAAATAATCTTCTATACATGCTCTGATACATATATTTCTCACATTCCCAAACTTTACTATAAAATGTTCTTACTGACGCAACTTATAGGATTTATCTTTCTGATACCATCGACTGTATCAGATGTTCCTGATAATCTAGATTGTTGCCTATGGAAAAATATAATCTAAATATCCATTAAAATTCCTTTCTTGAAATTCTCAAACCTTTTACATGTGCTTCTTGATGGAATAACAATAAGGATTTGATTGAGTATTGTCATCATCATAGGCATTCACTCGCTAACGAGTACCTATATAAAAATCTTGGCAGCATCATTATCTGTGGGTTCTTTGATGTTAATAATCTGTTGAAATAATAGGTTAATTTGCTCCACAGTTAGAGTATTGAGAATACTTGGCGTTTTTCTCAACTCAATACATTTCACAGCAGATGCAATTCTTTGCCAGCAAATCCCAGTTGGTGCATTTGACCTAGAACCAGAAAATATTTAAATTTACATGGAATCTTGGATGTGCCAAGTTATTTAGGTGAGTAATTTGGCTTCCGTATTAAAAATAAAATGAAATTCAGATATGTAGTCAAGTTTCATCCCTAAAGCAACTTGGTAGAAGTAATTTGATACTCTCAGGGTTCGCATGCACAAAAACCCATTTCAAAAACTAAAGGACCCTGCTGCACACTTATGGGATTTCTGACCGCGGTCAAATTTAACCAAATTTTAGTACGTAGCACGTAGTTTAATGTCCAAGAAATGTATACATTTTATATGCATTTTACATCTACCTGCCTCTCACCTGTGTACATTTCTTGGACATTAAACTACCTGTAAGTATCTCAAAAACTAGACATAGGATTAAGTTGTGCCCATGGTAGTTATTGATTAGAAAGGTGAGATCTATAGGTAACAAATTAAAATTTGATTAAATTTGACCGCGGTCAGAAATTCCATAAGAAGTGTGCGGGGTCCTGCAAATCTTGATTAACAGGTTTGTAGATAATTCAATTGGCTTTAATGAGAGCTGAATTGCGTTGAAATCGGATAAAAATTACAGGAGGTGAGAGGCAAAAACTGTCTCAGTGTCATTTATGGAATATTTTCAATGTTCGATAATTTCAATTTTGAACCTTCTCAGGTGCAGTACTGTTAAAGCCAAATTAAAATCTCAATTAATGGAGTTCTAGAGAATTTAATTGGCTTTAATTGAAGCCGAATTACATTGAAATCGGAAGAAAATTAATGGAGCTCTAGGGCAAAAACTGTTGCAATGTCATTTTTGGAAAATTTTAAATGTTCGATAATTTCAATTTTGAAGCTTCTCAGCTGCAAAACTATTGGAACTAAATTGAAATCTTAACTAACAGGTTTTCAGAGAATTTAATTGACTTCAATTAGAGCCGAATTGCGTTGAAATCGGAGCAAAATTAACGGAGCTGTGGGGCAAAAACTGTTTCAATGTAATTTTTGGCAAATTTTCAATATTCGATAATTAATTTCAATTTTGAAGCTTCTCAGCTGCAGTACTGTTGAAACTAAACTGAAATCTTAATCAACTGCTTTGTAGAGAATATAATTCGCTTTAATTAGAGCCGATTGCGTTGAAATCGGATGAAAATTGAAGGAGCTGTGAGCCAAAAACTGTCTCAGAGTCATTTTTCGAAAATTTTCAATGTTCGATAATTTCAATCTTGAAGCTTCTCAGCTGCAAAACTGTTGAAACTAAATTGAAATCTTGATAGATTTGTAGAGAATTTAAGTAGCTTTACTTTGAGTTTAATTACGTTAAAATCGGATAAAAATTAACGGAGCTGTGAGGCAAAAACTGTCTTAGTGTTCAATTTTGAAGCTTCAGGTGCAAAACTATGTTGAAACAAAAATATACAATTTTGTCTGGTTGAGTAAACACAAAAACTATCATAGTAACCTGGAAAAAACCCAATAGATGATTTGAAAAAACCGGGTTTTTGCCGACCCTTTGATCCTCTGTTTAAAATTGATGATAAAATTACTAATGCATAATATATTATACAATGCTGCAAATATTTTATGCTATGCTAGCCAACGTGTTTTCTTGATAAACCGGCGAACTTTTTTGCGATAAATATAACGTGAACATCTCTAATCTACCTAAAATATTTGGGAAAGGTCATTTAAATCTCTAAAAATAGAAAAGTACTTTTAACATTACATACAGAAAAAACAAACAAACACATCTATTGTATTTAATTAGCAGATTTATTATTTTCAATTGAAAAATAAAGAAAAGAAATGACCTAACAAGGCTTCTGGTCTGCATACGGTTTCTATCATATTTTGAGAATTATACTCAAGTAGGGTAGGAAATCTAAACCACGTGACGTGGCCATCCAGACTTTATATTGACATTTTTTGAGAGGTTGTTAGATCACTACTAGGTATTGAATTACATTTGAAAAAATTTGTATAAAATCTAATTAGTCGACGTCACAATAAGGATCCAAACGGGAATATTCAGGAATTCTTCACATTGCGTGATTTGAACTAACAAGCATTTACGTTTAAAAAAAGGCGCGCGTAGTTTGTAGGTATGTCAGTCAGTCAGTTTTTAATATGAAAATTATTGTATGATAAAGTGCATTTTGTAGTCATTTAGTCGGTTGTTAGTTTTTAGAGAGTTTATAAGTGAACCAATTCATCTTTCATGAATTCATTTAATTCTAAATCCCCCGAGAAGCTACCAGAAAAGTCTCTAATCATGTCACTAGCCAATGCAAGTATTCAAATGATACCTTTACATGGCCGAATGACTGACCGTCTTCTTATGGTGGAGGCCGGAGGCCTAACTTTAATACCGCTTGCAGATGCTGAGATTTCAAGACACATTAAAGTTTTTAATTTGGTTCCGAACCCTATCAATTTCTTAGCGGAAAGTTCCAACTTCTTATAATGAACTTTCCCATCTTCTTTACTTAGGGACCTCTCTACTTCTTCTATTGGGTTTTTGAATTTTTCTTGGTCTTCTGGAATTTTCTCGAGTTGGTTTATTTCGAAGAGGTCACGGTTTGTCATTCTCGCTGAAATTTGATTTCCCTGAAGGCTTGCCTTCAAACTTTGTTCGGACTCCTTATTTTTGCCTTTATTTCTGTCTTCGGTCTTCCTCTGCTTGGCTTTCTTTCTGTCATCAGACTCACTTTTCTTGTCTTTCTTTCTGTCTTCGGGCTTCCCTTTCCTTGCTTTTCTTTGGATCTTCTCTCTTCTCGTAGTTTTGAAAGTACTGCAAGGCGATAAGGTATTTCTTGTCTCTTGCCTTATGACACAAGTCATAAATGAGCCAATTAGGCAGGGTCTTAAGCGCAACTGTCATAGATTTAATTTTGTGCTCTAACAAGGATCTTCTGTCAAATAGTGGTGTCGATACCTCTTTCGATGCATCTGACCCTTATCAAGTGTCAGTTGCGTTTGAGGATCTCCAAACCTAAACCTTCCTTTATATCTTATAGAGATTTACGACATTTTGATCGCGAAGCGTTTTATGCTGATCTCCTTAATGTACCTCTTCATAATATCTTTTATCTGCAGAATGTCGATGAAAAGCTGGAAACATTCAATAGATACATTTTAGGTTTGTTTGATAGGCATGCCCCCATTAGAAATGCCTGGGTAACAAAAAAAAAGACACCCTGGATTTCCCCCAATATAGGGCTCACTATATGAAGCTACGGAACAAGGCCCTATCTAAATTTAAGCAACGTAATACGCCAGAAAACTGGGAAAACTATCGACGGCTTCGTAATCAAGTCACAATCGCGATTCAAACTGAGAAAAAAACTACCTTGAAACTAATTTGAATATACACAATCCCAAAAATAATTGGAAGCTGCTTAGGGAGCTCGGTATATATTCGAAGGATCCTATATCCATTCTTGAATATCTTGGTAATGTGGATGACATAAATCAATTTTTTATAATTGCTGCTTCTTCATCAACCCCTGATCCAGCTACGTCACTCTTCTATCGCGAAAACAAAAAACAGGATGTCGGCTCTTTTGAGTCATTCTTCCCTTTATTGCACACTTTGTTAACTCATGCATAGAGACTTCATTTTTTCCAAATGTCTGGAAAAGTTCTTTTCTGCTTCCGATCCCTAAGGTTCCCGTTCCTGAGGAGTTGAAGGACTTAGACCCATAAGCATTCTGCCAACACTTTCGACGGTCCTGGAAAGAGTGTTGGACAGCCAGATTGGTGACTTCATCCAAGCTCACCAGTTGCTACCTTCTGTTCAGTCTGGTTTCCGTAAAGACTACAGTTGCGCAACAGCACTTCTAAAGGTTACTGACGATATTCTTGAGGCAGCTGACTCTGGTGAACTCACTCGCTGCTTTGATCTTGCTGGACTATTCGAAAGCTTTTGATCGACTGGACCATGAGCTTTTCTTGGCAATTCTGAGGTATCTTGGCTTTGACAAAAACGCCTGCCAACCTATTGAAAGTTACCTTTCTGGAAGAACACAGTCGGTGAAGGTTGGCCCTAGCATGGCGGGATCAACATCCAATTGGCCTGAGGCACACCAATGTGCACCTGTACGCAGACGATACCCAACTGTATATGTCATTTTGTTCAGAAAACATTTTTGAAGCCAACGATAAA